GTCTTGCAATGATGTACGACCAAAGCATGTTTGGTAATAAAACACTAATCGTGTGAGTAGTGATGTGATTTATAACCTCATTGTCTGTCTGTCTCCATCCTTCTGGAATGCAACTGCAAGAACAAGGAAGAGGAGGAAGAAGATAGAGTCGAAACTTGAAATCGTGAGTTTTCTTTTTTTTTTGTCCTCTCCTTTTTGTATTTTTGTTAAACTATATCATAAGTCTCTCTCGATCGAATCTCAGTCTTGTTGCTTAGATGCTAACTTAAGCCCAAAACTTGTGGTATTTTGAAGAGTTAGCGCAAGTTAGCATCGAACCTTTTGTTGACGGAGACCAGATCGAGACTCTCACAGACAAAGAGTTAAAGATCAGAAGAAATAATTGATTCGACGAAAACGTTTTCGGGTTTCTTGAGTTCTCTTCAATTTCCTTGTCAACGCCTAATTTCAACTAGCTTTTGTGAATCTCCCAGTTCGTGGGTTCAAGGTAGTATCTTTATTTGCTGCAAAAAGAGTCTTATCTTTTTTTTTGTTTCTGGGATTTACTGGGTTTTTTTTTCTAACAATCTAATGGGTTTGGAGCTAATTTGGACTTGGTCGTTGTTTATTATTCTAAGTATCAAGACGTTGACTTACTTGATACTTGGAATACTGCATAGAGTATCTAAGAAACCCAAATATAGTGTTGATTTTTGTGTTCTCTAAACATCCTTGGCCACTTTCTAACAATCTAATGTGATCATTTGCATAAATATATACTCTTTGATACGATTAATTCAATGTCGAAATCTTAGATTGTAGCGACTGATTTGATTTGAAACATATCTTTTGAGTAGAACTGTTTCTTTGAAGTCTTATCAATTGCTTGTAGTTTTAAGAAACGTAGCAACTTGAATTGGATGTCTACGTCTTTGCCTTGGTTTGTCCTTTTTGATCTCTAAGTTTGAAATTGACACTGTCATCTTCTTCAGTGAAGGATTCTGCAATTTGGGGGTCTGTCCTGGTTTCTTTGAACTGGCGGGCCGTTGATAGAGCTCATCTTGAGTTTATTAGTAGTAGTTTCAACACACTGGAGATTGGCGCACCAACGTTCATGAAGACAGACTTCTTAATAAAGCCTCATATTTACTAAAGAGAGAAAAGTCATCAGGTTAACTCCCAAAACTGCTTTGTATTATTTTTCTCTGTTATTTAGAAGTTTAGCAATGGAATACTTTCAGGAAAAATTGTTTACTTTTTTCATTTTCAGTTTATTAGCAATGGATTTTTTTTTTGTATTAATATGAATGATGGATATATTTTTTCATTACTCAACTTGTTTCAACCAAATTTATCTTGGAAAAGTGCCTTATTTACCCGTGGATGTCTAGAAATTTTGGTGACTATCACTGAAGTCTAACTGATTTTATATTTCTCTGCTAGGTCCTCATTTGCAATGAAATCCTACGAAAACGATGGAGTGGACTTGGAAGATGGGAAGACACGAAAAGCTGGAGATAAGCCAATTCTGAGAAAGATACCTAATCAGGCTTTGTTATCGGGTTTAGCTTATTGCATTTCATCATGCAGCATGATACTGGTGAACAAGTTTGTTCTTTCCAGCTACAACTTCAATGCTGGGATATTTTTAATGTTATACCAGGTACGTTCGTGTGACTTCCCTACCAGAACGAAATTTGGTTTCTCTTTCGCTGTCCTATAGTTTTTTGAATTATGTTGTCTGTGGTGGTTATGTTTCGTTTTCTTCTCTGTCTGTGATGGTGCAGAATTTTGTCTCAGTGATCATTGTGGTGATTTTGAGCTTAATGGGTCTAATAACAACGGAACCACTGACCTGGAGATTGATTAAGGTCTGGTTTCCAGTGAACGTGATATTTGTTGGCATGCTTATCACAAGCATGTTTAGGTAGGAATGAGTTTTATGCCTTTATTTGCATTTCTTTCTAAAATTTCATCTTCATGTGGTATATGGGAAATACTCTTTCTCTGTTTAGTTTCTTAATCCTTACTTTCACTCCATCAATGACATGAGAAAGTTTATAATTGTTTGCCAGAACAAGATTACTAAATTATTAAAACTGTTTGGAGAGCTATAACTTTGTAAACTGAGATATTCTGGATTTAGTTTGATTCTGTCTGATTTAATTTCTTTTTTACTTTGACAGTTTGAAATACATCAACGTAGCAATGGTCACGGTCCTGAAGAATGTCACTAATGTAATAACCGCAGTTGGTGAGATGTATCTATTCAACAAACAACACGACAACAGAGTGTGGCTTGCTCTCTTTTTAATGGTACGTATGTCCACTTATAAAAGTGTTCCAAACTGAAACTCTAAATTATCCTGCAAGAACTGTTCCCAAGGACCCCTTTTTGAGCTGCATATTGAAAAGATTTTCATTGGAATTTGTGAAAGATATCGAACAACAATTCTGATACTTGGATTTACTTATATGAAACATTCCTTCACTTTTACCAAGAAAGTAGGAAGCATATTTTCTTATTCATTCCAAGTAGCCTGCGACCACCAGTTTTCTTTATAGCCTCTCATTGTTATTTTGGTTGATTTTGTTGATATAGTCTAATGATAGATTCTCCCCCTCCTCAATGCAGATCATTTCTGCAGTATCTGGAGGGATAACAGATCTATCTTTCAATGCTGTTGGCTATACTTGGCAAATTGCTAATTGCTTCTTAACTGCATCGTACTCTGTGAGTAAACTCTTGATCATGTGCGCTTTTATCACATTATCTACTAGAGTCATTTGAAACCGTAAAGACAATTTTGAGAAGGAGAGCACATTAAATCATGTTTTCACGTTGGTTAGTACATGCGTTTTGTGTAAGTCTAAGTTATGAACCTGAATTGTTCCTTTGATTATTATTATGTTCCTTGCTTGATCTCATTTGAAGATTCTCATGAGTTGCAATCAAATCTGCTGCACTCTCTTATTTTGATTTATATTCTTTTACAAATTCAATAGCTTGCAATGATCTGTTATTGGGTGTCGTTAGTAGTTCCAATCGGTGATATAGATAGGGATAAACATGTTAGAGAGAAGACTTAAGGCAAAGAATGAAAATTCACATCATCAACTTCTCACAAGGTTCTCATACAATTCCCAGATCTGAAAGACTGTTGGGTTCTCATTATTTCATGTCGTCCAATCCTGTCCGTGTAAACCAAATCTCTACGAAATGTTGTCTTGTTAGCTAGACTATTCCTCTTGAAATTTATGTGTACCGCTTATTCTTCGATTAGCTAATGTGTACAGGCCAAAGTCAGCTAGTTTATATGATTTGCTTATATTTCGTTGTTTTCAGCTGACACTGAGAAGGACAATGGATACGGCCAAGCAAGTTACTCAATCTGGAAACTTGAACGAGTTCTCCATGGTCTTGCTTAATAACACACTTTCATTACCACTTGGCCTTATTCTTTCTTTTGCTTTTAACGAGACGGATTATCTGTATACAACGTGAGTTACTTCCTGTCCTCTTTTCCTGTCAATATGAAATGATTTCTGTTATCTGAAAAAAAAAATGTTTATTATTATGTTTGTGCAGGCCACTTCTGCGATTGCCAGGTTTCTGGCTGGTCATGACACTCAGTGGGCTTCTAGGTCTTGCCATTAGCTTCACTTCAATGTGGTTTCTTCATCAAACCGGAGCTACAACATACAGGTAAGAAATTAGACAGTCAAATGCAGTTTCAATCTTTCTTCTTGCTTCTGTAGTAGAGACATGTTTTGTTTTATGCAATTTCACAGTTTGGTGGGATCGCTGAACAAGATACCTCTGTCTATTGCTGGGATCGTTCTTTTCAATGTACCTACCAGTTTGCAGAACTCAGCGAGCATACTATTTGGTAAGCATTCTCTTGGTTCCGTTGCCAAATATCTCAGAGGTACACATATCTCTCGCGCTGTGCATTAACCCTTAGAGATGCTTTTTTGTCTGCAGGGCTTGTGGCTGGAGTTGTATTTGCCAGAGCCAAAATGAGGGAGAAGATCTAGAAACACTTAGTCATTTTCAACACATTTCCCTACATCAGGTAGTATTGGGCATGCCCAGAAATGATCCACTTGTTTGTAGCGTAGAATTGGGTTTAGAACCTCACAATTATAGTGCAAATCTATATGTTTTCTGAGTAACTAAGCATGTACCACACTCTGTCATGAATGTATTGATTCTTGGGTAGTTAAAGATTCCAACAAACAAAAATGGTTTAGGTCAACCAAATAAATGGTAGTAAGAAGATGGTTAATAGAAGTAGAATGGATGAGGAGGAAGAGTGTTCATCCAACCATCTTTGTCCAAAAAAGTTTTATGGTTTATAAAGTAAGATATATCTTTACTCGACAGAGTCTTCTCCCAAGCCACTCTTCCTTGCTTTCTGGCTCCTAGACCGTTACAGTTTACCTCGGCATACATCATTTTATTCCTGATTTTTTAGTGAGTGTTAATTTGCAATAGTTTGGAGAATCATGCAAATGAGAGAAGGTGTTTACTTACACTAGTCCTGGATAACTCCAAGCATCCCAGCCTTGAGGAACAATAACATCAGCCATGTTAGTATTGCAAAAGAGAACTCTCGAGTAGCCTCGATAAGCTCTTCCAAGGAATGCCTTTCCAACTCCGACAATGGAGCATCCATTGAACACAAACCCACTTGTGTCCTGCTCACTCTCTCTTCCTTGCGCTGTTATGAAACCCGCGATCGCTCCTCCGTCCACCGTTTCTTTCTCGGTTTCGGTTGATGTTGTCACTCCCAAAACATTTATCATGCAACTCTGCACGCGTAATTTGGTGTTTACATTGATTACTTGTAAAAGATTCACATATGAAAGAAAATATGGTATACTTGGTATAGAGATTGGCCATTTCCCCAAATAAAATCGATGATTCCTGTGATGTGACACTGTTGGAAGTAGTGGCGGCCGACTAAGTCACCGACTGTGTCTTGGAGACTCACAAATTGGCAACCGAAGAATGCTGCCTTGTCTGCTGCTATTACAATCGCTGGAGCTATTTTTATATCACGGTACAGTGTTTTAGGCTTTTCCTTATTATAAGTATTCTGCATCAAATTATATTCTTATTAGATTGAAGTACAAAGATTATACTTGTTAGATCATGCACAATAGCTAGCTAACCTTAAATGTTATATTGATAGCGACGAAGAATTCGGCTAACAATCTGAAAGTCGCACTCGCAATGGATTCTCCCGCATGGTTATACTGGATTATAGCTTCTGATGCTTTATGTGCTTCCATTAGTATCTTTTGCTTATCCTTCGGAATTATTACCTTTTCGCTGCATCAACAAACAAAGAATACACATATAGAAACGTCTAATGAAAGAAAGAATCAAGTCTATGATCATACTTACTTGTAGATTCCTCTTCTGATAAAGATTCTGATCCAATGGTTGTTACCGGAGGGAACTGAGTCGATTGCCGGTTGTATGGTTTTGAAGTGACCATTACCAGTTTGATCCACCACAATAGTTTTTACTATCCCATTGTTGGTATCATTTAGTGTATTATTACCTTCAAAATCATGAGAAACGAAATGTGACGACTTAGCTGTCACATACAAAAATGAGAGAGCAAAAACACGTACTAGAGATTCCATTGCTACACACAAAAGTTTTTCAAAGATTACATGTTTAGAAGGTTAATTTAGCCAATCTATTCTATTTATAAAAAGGTTCTTTTCATTGCTCTAACAATGGTACTTTATTTAATAAAAAAAAAATTTGACCAAAAAAAAAAGAGAAGATAATAATTACTATTTTTTTTTTTTTAAAACAGTCAATCCATTCACGTTTTACATCTTTCAAACAAATCCAATTTAATTTGCAAGTTTGATATAAAGGCGTTTTCCATAAATACAAAGTTCTACGCCAAGAGATACGTTCATATTACATAGCCAAATTAATAAATATTTTACCGATATATAGTAATGGAGTATGTGTAATTAATATTTCAAAAATTATTGGATGCACTCTACTTTAAGAAATTAGTGTCACATATTATTGTCTTTGAGTGGGGATGATTGGTTCGACTGTAGCTGTAGATTTTAGAGCTGTAAACTTTTGGCTATAAATATGATAGTTGTATATTACCAAAAAAAAAATGTGATGGTTGTATTTGTAGATGTTAAACTGTAATATTTAAAATTAAAACATCACTGATGATGGCAAATTTAATGTTGTAATTCATTTTTAAAATTAAATATACTAATTTAGATATGAAATTAAAAATATTGCTGAAATTCACGTAAATATAGTAATTTATATGGACCACAATGATATTTTTTTGTCTTATATGTAATTAATTTTTTATATGAAAATATTTATATAATTTGCAACTAAGTAAGTAAAATAATGGTAAGTTCTATTGAAAATTGTAAAAGAACAACCGTAGAAGAGAGATTAAAAATCTCACAGCCCCTAAAGCACCAAATATTTTGCTTTAGAAAATTTGAGATATACAACATAAAAAACTAAAGACATTTTGTTTTGGGATGTGAGTGTTTTTAGGAAGGCTAAAACTTGTTTGGTTAAATTTTAGGGCTGTAATTTTTTTTTTTGGGCTGTAAAATGATTCTACAAGCTTACCAATCACACACAATTGTATTTAATGTCCACTATTTCTGGAAAATGTCTATCAATTTTACTTGTGTAAATGACTTAAAAATCTATATTTTTTTTAAAAAATGTTTATTTAATACCTATACATTCTCATAAATTGTTTTATTCCTCATAAATAAATTGCACAAATAAATATCAATTTTTTTTAGAACCTCACATGTTATCTGCGTCAAATGGTTAAACATCATCTTTAATCTATTAATCGGTAGTGACGTGACATAAGCAATTGACAAACTTCAATAAACCAATTCTTTTCAGTTAACCTTATCAAATCAC